TGCTGAAGGAAAGAAAGTAGCTTTACCTAGTATTCTCAAGGAATAAGATTAGATTTCCTGCTACAACAATTTCCAGACTGCCCCACAGGCACACAGAAAGGGACCTTTGTTGACCTGCACACAGATGGGCTTCACAAGGATTTACAAGCAAGCCATACCACCTAGCTGCTCCTGCCAGAAGCAATGTTGGACTCTGAAGCTCAGGATACCCCATCCCTATGTCCCTCACCTAACTCAATGTGGGAAGAGTCAATTATTATTTGTGACTCAGGTACTCATCGCTTTGTATTTTGCTTGCAAACCTACCTTTTCAGAAAAGGCTCAGTCTAATGCGCTATCTGCAGCTGAACCTTCCCAGGGAAACTTTTTTGGTACAATACTGCTGGACTTAGGTGTCTAGTTTTTGGTTTTTTGTTTTGTTTTTTGGGGGTTTTTTTGGTTTTTTTTTTTTTTTTTTTTTTTACAATGAGCACTAGTTTTTTTCTAAATTAAATTTTAAATCTCTGATTTGGTAACTGTACTCTCTAGCAATGGGTTCTGATATCTAAATTTGACTGATGGAAACAATTATGCAAGTCTACCAAATAAAATGGCTTTGCAGTAATGTATTACTTTGTCCTCGTTCATGAGAAAAGGCACTACTTCCAAACAGAGGGAGAAGGGATGTGCATATTCAGACAGGAAAAGCAAGCATTGGGGAAAGCAGGGGTGGGGCTTACTGAACTTACCAAGGCTCCTGGCCCTTTCCTCCCTGCTTTCTTCTGAGTCATTTAGGATTAGCGCTGGCCCTGATGAGTTTGAAACAGCAGCTGATTGTTTAAAATAGGGCAGGCATCTGTCTCAGCATTTCTCTCCTCAATGTCTTTGTCATCTTCTTTGTGCACCTCAATTTCCTTGTTCAGGCTCTTGCAGGGAATCCCTAAAATGGTGTGAAGCTTCTGACACAAGGGACAACTTGCTAGAGAGTACCTCCTGACTTTTTGCTCTGTGACATTGCCCTGTAGTAGGCCTGCAAGAGATCTTCTGCTTGGTGCTACTTCCAGCCCCCCTTCACCCCAAAACACACACTCAGATGCTTTGAATAGCATCCGCTCTTCAATCTCTTTGTACACATTTCCATTTCTAAAATTTCCCTATGGCCGTGCTTACACCATCCCTTTGCTCCACAGTCTGAAGGAGCTAGTATCTTGCTCCTGCTCCAAAAAGAAGCATGCAATTCTGGTCCATCTTTCTCTATAGAAAGCTATGTCTGTCCATTAGCAAATTGGGATGAGCAGAAAAAGATTTCCCAAACAAAGTGAGACTTTTACAGGAAAAAGGTTAGGCTTCAGGATCAGCTGGACTTAAGAGTTCAAACAAAAGTGATACAGTGTCCACACTGACGTTATGCCAGTTGTCATGTAGCAAGTGAGGGCTTGTGTCATTTGTGATTATGTAGTTATTCTGCTGACACAAACCTTGAATTATCATTTTATAGCAAATGATGCAGATGAATGCAAACCCACACCAACAAAAGCTGAAACAGTACAGACCTAAAGTTTTCAAAGGTGAGTTAAGTCATGGTAACTATCCCAATCCAATATTATAACACCTGTTAAAACTCTAGCAAAGATGAGGCATGGCAAGCTTAGCCTATGTTAAAGCTTTGTTTCAGGGATGCACAGGTTTTAATACAATCACTTTATCTTAACTGGTCTTGGTTTGAAGTTTTACAAAATATTGTGGAATACAATACTGAAAAGATCTACACAAGTACATGGGAATCCCTAAAATGGGTGGCACGGAAGTGGAAAGGGATCTTGGAGTCCTAGTGGACTCCAAGATGAACATGAGTCAGCAGTGTGACGAAGCCATCAGAAAAGCCAATGGCACTTTATCATGCATCAGCAGATGCATGATGAATAGATCCAAAGAGGTGATACTTCCCCTCTATTGGGCGCTGGTCAGACCGCAGTTGGAGTACTGCGTGCAATTCTGGGCACCGCACTTCAAGAGGGATGCGGATAACCTGGAGAGGGTCCAGAGAAGGGCCACTCGTATGGTTAAGGGCTTGCAGACCAAGCCCTATGAGGAGAGACTGGGGCACCTGGACCTCTTCAGCCTCCGCAAGGGAAGGTTGAGAGGTGACCTTGTGGCTGCCTATAAGTTCATCACGGGGGCAAAGAAGGGAATTGGTGAGGTTTTATTCACCAAGGCGCCCCCGGAGGTTACAAGAAATAATGGCCACAAGCTAGCGGAGAGCAGATTTAGACTGGACATTAGGAGGAACTTCTTCACAGTTAGAGTGGCCAAGGTCTGGAACGGTCTCCCAAGGGAGGTGGTGCTCTCCCCTACCCTGGGGGTCTTCAAGAGGAGGTTGGATAAGCATCTAGCTGGGGTCATCTAGACCCAGCACACTTTCCTGCCTATGCAGGGGGTCAGACTCAATGATCTATTGAGGTCCCTTCCAACCCTAACATCTGTGAATCTATGGCTGTCACCCAAAGAGCAACACAGTTCAGTTCTTTTGGCCACACAGAACTCTTTTTTCCCCTTAATGTAAATTAAAAATTAATAATGCATGCTGCATTAAAAGCTTAAAATGAAAAAATTAACAATTAAGTGTTAGTTTAAATAAAAAATAAATTACTATAAACATCTAAACTTGAATTAAAAGGACAGATTGTGTTTCATGAATAGAAGTTAACTGAATAAAACTTAAATCTACTATAGTGAGGTACCACAGTTCTGAAAAGTAAGAAAAATTTTGTTTTTGAACACAGTTCTTTTGGGCAGCATTACTCGAAAGAAAAGTTAAATGATTATACTGATGCATTACTACAGAGTATGTAATGGTTTTAATAATGCTGAAATACCACTTACCAAGTACAGGGTTATACAAGCTGGTCTCCTTACAGATGTTTGGGAACATATAAGGCAAATAGTATTTCTTAAAATTTGAAAACAAAAATGAAAATCCCTTTTCTTGGTTTTCCTTGTTCTTCCATTCCAAACTCTTAACCTTTTAAAGAAGAAAAAAAAGTATGTTAAGACTGATTTGGAGATTAACACATTATATATATTTCAGTAATAATTTCCAAGTGTATCAAACTTCAGAATTTCTCTGTTCCTTATACTAGAAGAATTTACTATAAAAACTAAAAAAAAAAATAGTTTTAATAGATTAATTTTTTTTATGTATTTTCCAGTTATTCTTAAGTGGAGAACAAAATTAAGTTTTATTATTTATTTCATGAAATGGATATTATTCAAATTAGACTGTATGCATCACGTTAATTCTGGAAATGTCTCAACCAGCCAATTCTATGGGCTATTAAGAATGACCTACAGAGAGGAAAAACTTTAAGGCTTTGCTTCAGCAAGATACTTATTTAGATACTAAAAAAGGTCACATTTCTTTTATCTGCCAACAGAACATACCTGGATTACCATGTATTTCAAAAGTGCTTCTAGAAAGTAGCTTGTAAGATCTTCTTGTCCTTTGTCTCCAGATTGTGGAGGGACAAGTGGAGTAATTTCTTCTATAGTAACTTGAGCTATTCAAAAGTAAAAAAGACATTACATTTCATCAATAAATATGATGCTTCCTAAAGCAAGTTTTGTTTGTAATGCTTATTAAAATGATCTTAAAAAGAGGGGGTGGGATGGACGATAATGAAAAACACCTCCTACAGGACAATTTAAAAGGAAATACGTTTGGTCCATAAACCTCCTCAAAACTATATATTCTCTTTCATACTTTTTACATTTTCATGTGAAGTACGTGCAAAACTATAACCACAGCTAACTGTGCCCAGCCCCTGTTAAGAAGAGCCCCATGCAGTGCCGGCTCCGGCTCCACCCCGCAACTGCAGCCCGCCCCGCACCACGCAGATCCGGGGGCATCCCCCCTCCCCCCCCAGGTGCAAGTAGTGATGGGAGCCCCCACACCCCACAAGCCGTGCCTCCGCCCCCGCCCCGGGGCAGTGCCTGCCCCTGTCCCCTCCCTCACCACGGGGAGTTAATCTGCCCCCCCTGCCCCGCCACTTTCACCCTAAGGGATTTACCAGATGATGGCAGCTGTATTGGACATTGGATCGGCATTGACCAATATACCTCCTTAAATATCGGCCCCAAAAATCCCTATTGGTGCACCCCTACCTACAGCAGAGCCTCAAACCCTTCCATTCTAATTCCAAGGAACAGAGAAGTAGAAGCAAAGAATAGTATGTCTTCCCCTCCCTCACTCCGAATGGCAGGAGGGGTTATAAAGCCCTCTCTTTGGGGCAGGTGCTAGAGCCATGTAGTAAAGCCTTGAACTGAGTCAGTCTGGCTTCTCATAGGGTAGGGATTCTCAACCAAGGTGCAGCAACACTGTGGAGTGCCCCAAGAACCTTTCAAGGGTGTTGTAGGATGCCACACAATGCCAGCACTGTTAGGTGTGCAAACATGATTCACAAGAGAAACCCAGACATTTCAAAAACAGAAAGACCATAACAGGTCAGAATGTTTTAAACACTATTGATTCCTGAGTTCTTTGCAACAACAACAACAACAAAAAAAAAAAAAAATTGCTCTATTTTTTTTTTTTTTAAATACAGAAAAATAATGAGAGAAAACTAAGAGTTAGTATAATTTGAGGGGTACCTTGAGCCTAAAAGGGTTGCAACTATTCAGAAGGTGTGATGAGAGATTGGCTGAATCCAAGTGTAACAAAGGCCTGTCCCAGAGATGGCTATGAGACCCCCTGATGGCTACTCAGCCTTTGCTTTACTCTGATCCTCCACTTGTTTTCCTACCACACCTTGATGTGCTTATACCTTTAAGAAAAGGGAGGCTGCCCAAGGGATTCCCAAGCAAGCTCTCATCCACTCCTGTCCTACTCCCAAGCCTGAATCTTGTTCTGATCCTGTCCTTCAGCCCACACTGGCTCCCATCTCTGCACTATTTCTAGGTACCTAGTCCCTGCTAGGCAATAGAACCTCCAGGTCCCCGCCCCGGCACTGGACCTGCTTTGGTCCCATCTCCACTCTACTTCAGAGTACCTGGATCCATCCTGGTCCTTTCTCCCAACCTTCACCCAGGCTCTAGCCCTGCTCCCAGGACTGTTGGGATATCCTCCACCCCTTAGTCCCTCCCAAATCTCCAGATGTTACTGCTGACTGTGGGCAGTCGAGCAGGTGGAAGGTAGCTGGGAACTGGACCCAGAGCTGTGTGCACTGGGGCAAGAAGCACCTGGCTAAAGCCTCCTGCCGACCCAGAATGGTGCAGCAGGGGCAGGACCCAGAGGAAAGGGGAGCTGAGCAGCCCCACTGGATGCTGGCCTGCATGCTGGCCAGGGTGGGGCCAGGAGGCATGGGTAGGAGTGCAGCACTGGCTGCCCTGTGTACGGCTCATCCCCATGTGAAGCTCCGTGGACTGCACCACCTGGGAGAGCTCTGCTGCATGTGCCCCCTCCTCTCTCTGCAACCCTGGCCAGCTCCTGGGACCGAGCGCCCAGTCAGCACCCTTCCCGCCCCACAATCCCCACAGGGCAGGGGCGGGCAAGCAGAAGATTGCAGCTCTGCCCTGGGCCCTGGGCTTGTGCAGTCACCGCCCCTTGACCCTGCCCCACAATTCCAGCCTCACCTGCCCATCCTGCTCCCAAACCTCTTCCTGCCCACGCACAGCCCCATCCCACAGAGAATTTTGGTGATGTACTGTGGTGGAGAGGAAGAGAGGGGAGTGCTGATGTAGCCTGTGACAACTTGCCAGAACTCCATGTGGCTCCTGGGCCCAAATTATTGCCCACCCCTGACCCAGAGGAATAGGAATATATAAAAACCTGAGTAATATTACTAAATTACTTACTTTCTTGAACATTAAGTGGAGGGTTAATGAGATTATCTAGTGTTCGAGGCCCATATTCAGATTGTGGTGATGAAAACCCAGGAATTAAGCATGAAAACATCCACAACTGTTCTTTACTACAGTTATTCTGAAGTGCTTGCAACCACAAAAGGAAAAGACGCACACCTTCTCGACGTATCTTTAAGGGAGAAAAACTTTTTTTTAACTAGGTAAAGTTTTCATACAGAGCATATGCAGTAATAAATGAGCCAGCTGGCATATGTTCTGACAGCCTCCTGGCTTTTATAACTGTATTACGTATCAATAGACTATTGGATGAAAATTATAACTTTTACATGTACCAGGTACCTTAAAAAGTACATTTGAGAAGCCTCTCCTTTGTCAAATAAACCCTTGTTTGGGTGGTTAAATAGCATCTATATTCTCCTCTACACAAATCACCTGGAAAACATACTGAGAATGACTTATCTAATAATTCCCCTATATTTAAAACAAGGCATGAATTTAAGAACTAAGATACCAGCATACAGACAGAGACACAGGCAGTGAGACTTTCTTGAACTTCCCCATTTCTGAGATTAATAAACTCTTTTGGCCTAGAAACCTCCACTGAATCTACGAAACTCAAAAAAGGCCATTGCTAGACTGCAATTTCTTCTTATAAGATTTGCAGTTGTCATGGGGAGGAGGCGTCAGACCCTACATTTGGGCAGAATGTGTGTTTTGTGGGAAGAATGAAACAGATTAATTACTATTTGTTGTCTTGTTTGTTTGTTGTTTTATGTTTAAAGAAATAAGAGCAAAATAGATCTTTCCAGTAACAGAACAATTTAAATACTGGACTACAAATAAGTTAAAGTCTGTCCCTAAGTGTATTTGCAGTACTTGCACAAAGAATAAAGGAAAAAAATCAAACAGAATTCCCGTTTTACTGTCCATTGCATCTTTTTTAAACTACGTTCTGTTTTACTTTTATATAAATTGGTGGAATGGATAATCTTATTGCATGCATTAAATAAAAATATAAAGTACATAAATGTTATCTTAAATATAACACCGATTTTTCCTCAAATGGTTGCACTGCTGGTACACATTTTATACAAGCAACCAGAAGATAAAAAAAAACCAACTTAGTCTCACCGTTTTTGTTTCAATACATATTCCAAGAACCCTTACACACATACCTTCCCCCACCACAGCAATCCCCCCTTTAAAGTGCAAAGTCCAAAATATGTATTTTTGTATACCTTTAAGGAGTTCCCAGTATGAAGGAGCTTCTTTAAAATCAAACCTGAAAAGAAAATACATGTAACTGTTTTTTGATCTGTATTTAACTTAACATGTCAGAGTTCTCGGTCAGACTTGCTACCACCTTTTGAACAAGTCCTTGGCAACCTCTAATTTACTCTTGGTGACCTTGCAATCCCCTGGCAATCAACTCAATGCCAGGAGAAAAAGAAAAGTCACCTTCTATACCTTCCTCATAAATCAAGTGAAAATGGCAATGCTTCTTAAGTCATCAATTCTTTTGCTAATAAAGCACCTAGTTTGTACAGTACTGTTTATGATCCAATATTTTTAGATAATTTAAAAAATATTAGTGCTCAGGGAAAGGGCTTATTTAGTTTAGCCCATGTAAATGATTAATAATTTATTATTATCCACTGTAAGTAGTACCAAGCAAATAAAGCTGTCAAATTAAAATTAAGTCAATCAGTGATACTTTTACATATAAAATAGTTTTATAAACTAAGATTTCCATAAATATGTTTTCCTTTCTAGATAAAATCTTACCAATACTATGAAACTGCCACCTCTGATGAATCCTTTCTGGAAGAAGTTGTAAAATTTTCTACAGAAGCAAAATGCAACAAACTAGGTTACACAGATATTACATAAATGTACACATAATAGAAGCATCAAACATTAAGACAAACTAACTTGCATGCAATCTTCTTTGATAATACAACTGCTGAATAGCATTTAAAAGTGATGTGCAAGAGGGGGGCTGACTTCTTTTCTTTTTGTTTATTCACAATTTCAGAAGGCAGCATGGTGTTATACTTTCATCCTCCTCTCTTCCTTGTTTTCTTTATTAGGAATTTCTGCTTCTGCTGACAGACTATACAGAATTATCTGCAAACCATCAGTCAGTGACATCTCTGATACAAAGTTAATGAAACCTGACAGGAAAGGCCAAGTAATTTTATGAATTACTTAACTTCAGTGCAACATTGTAAAAATAGCTTGTACTTTAACTGAGATTTAGAACTCTATTTTTCGATTAAGGGCTGAGAGAACTCACAAAATTCACTTCTGGTCTGACAAGAGAGAGTCTTCATGAACAGGGAAGAAAAAAAATGCTATCTTTTTAGGGACTGACCTACACACAGAAAAATCAGAAATAGAATTAATTTCTGAATCAGTGCAAGCTTCTTGAATGCAAGCTTTCTTGAAGGGATACATGCAGTTACTGAATGGTAACTGCAAACTTCACTTCTGTAGGAGTTTTGGCCAGCAATTAAAAAAATTCTTTGACTCGTCAGCAGGTAAAGAAGGTTCTTGCCATAAGACATGCTACTTCATTGTAAAAAGTGCAAGATTAACTCATCTTGCATATTTTGGAATTTTACTCTACATTCTGTTTTCAAACAGATGTGCATCAAGTGAATTAGATTCAGACAGAAGAAATGAATAAGATTTAAATTTGAAATATTTTAGGTGCTAATGAAAGTCATTCTTATGATGGTTATATCACTATTGTTTACATAAGCGTGAGTAAAAATATATAAAAAGATTCAAATCATCTTACCTCAAAAATAAAAAGAATACCATCTAGTTCTTCCCTCTGGGATTTGTGACCTAAATGAATTAAAAAGAATCCACAAAAAATAATTTAAGGACAAATTCTAAAGACATAAAATGTCCACACTTACAGCCACTGAAAATAGATCTCTCATTCTTGCCATTGCAAAAAGTTAGATGTAAAAAAAAAAAAAAATCATAAATATTATTTCAGAAGAATTAGATTATGATATAGAGAAGTGGTGTTCAAAATCCCCCCCCCCTCCACTGCGAGGCAGATGGAGAATGCCCGATTTGTCCGCAGGCCAGATCTGACTGGTGGTCCTGATCCAGTGCTTAGGGAGGGTGCAGTGGGCACCATCTGGCCACGTGGAGGGGGAAAGGGGTGCAGCCCAGCACCAACCCAGCTCACAGGGGAAAGGGGATATAGCCTGGTGCCAACCCAGCGCAGGGAGCGGGGGGTGTAGCCTGGTCCCAACTTGTCCCTGCAGGGGGGGAAGGTGGCATGACCCAGTCCCATGGGGGTAAGGGGTGTAGCCCAGCCTCAACCCAGCACTGCTCCAGGTACAGAGGAAGTGGGCATGGCCTGGCCCTGCCAGCAGAATGGGGCACAGCCCAGATCCAACCAGCCATGTGGGACTTGGGGTTTGGGACTTTGGTATGGTGTATTAATGGTCACTGCTCCCCTGCCACCAAATTTTCTGACTCAGGGGAGTGCCATGGGTTGGATTCCAAGGCTCCATGGGCCACATGGTGAGCACTCCTGATCTAGAGAGCTACCCATCATACAACTAAGTTAAATTATGGAGTCAATTACCAATATATCCACTGAAGGACAACTATTTTCTAGACATTAACCCCCCCCCCAAACAAAATACTTACTTAAGTTCATTTTTTCATTTCAAAGTAATTCACAAAAGGTTTCACTTTTTATAATTGTATAAAATATAAAAAAGCACTAGCAGGGCTAGTTTCTTTATGTCAGAAACTAACATAAAAACATTTGCAGTTTTAATTCATAAATTTCCCTCTTGCATACTATTATAGCAATCTCTAAAATGGAGGTATTATAAAGGAAAAATTGAGAATTTAATAGAATATGTAAAGGCAATACATTTTTTAGACCCATTCCACTCTTCATCTTAAATTATAGCACATTTGCAAAATGTATGTCAGGAATTCTTGAATTTAAAAAAAAAACAACAAAAACCAACCAAAGAACAGCCAGCTTTACAATCTGCAGATCTTCACCTTGTAAAATAGGTATTACAAACCAGAAATCAGCAAGGCCATACAATACATGGACTTTGTCCTCCCACCTCTCTGAATAGCAGTCACTTTCCTCTTCCTGGATCAAGAAGGATGCAACTGCTATTTATGTGCTGAATTGCTCCACCCTTATGAAGGGTCCCAAACAACTAACTGCAGCATTTATGTTCAAGGGCCTGTCTGCTTGAAAGTGTTAACAAGCACGATTGCCAGAAATCTGTTTTTACAGATTTCAAATATCAAATTTGAAATTATTACCTTTTTGTTTGAGACCTACTTCAATAGTCACGAAATTTTCAAAGAACACGTAGTATATATGTGAAAAGTGGAGGTCAAAAAACTGTTTGAGGTCAATCGATTCTGCATTCTCTGCAAAATAAACAGAAGATTATTTTCATTTCTCAGTATTATTTAGTCTTATCATTAGAATGATTATTTTAATATAGAAATTGAAGATCTTGTATCATTCCCATGAACAAAGCTGAGTATAGTTCAAATACTCAGCAAAATTTTTGGTCGGGGCAAAAAAAAAAAAAACTGACAAAAATTTCCTGTTCTTCCCTCTAACCCCCCTCAATATGTTTATTAAAAATTGCCCATTCTAATCCCCCCTCCCGCATTACTTATATTACTGTAGTGCCCTGAGCCCCAGTGATCATTGGTGATGTGTAGGGGGTGCACGCAGGTGCACGTGCACCCCCTGAGCATAGCGGTACACCCCCTGTGAAACGGTGCCGCTGGCCTGCGGGCAGTCGCCACTCGCCAACCCCCACTGGCAGTGTCTGCAGGTGGTCCGCGATTGCCGCTGGCCGCTGCTGCTGGCAGCGTCTGCAGGCGATTGCCAACTGCCAGTCAGTGCTCGCCACCCCACCTCCCACTGCCGCCAACAGCACCACAGCTGCCTGCAGAAGCTCTCCATTTGCCTCCACCATGCTCCCACTGCCAACAGCAGCCCCACTGCCTGTGGGAGCTCGCTGTGCCCCTGCAGCCTCTGGGGGCATGTGGTATTCATGCCAGTTGTGTGTTGTTATCAATTCCATCTTAAGTATTCATATGGTATGAATGTCCCTTGCTAGTCACTCATCAAGTCTTTTCTCTTTTTAAAAGACAGTGAAAGGGAAAGATAGTGAGGCTGTTTATACAGGTTGTATGTGTAAATGAACAATCTTTCACTATGTTTAACACCTGTCCCTCCTTGACTAAGTGTTGTTTTAATTACCTCTGACCATAATTTCCTAATTAAGAGCCGTTCTTCTCAACCTCACACATTATGTTCTATTACTTTTGTTTAAAGAAAGTTACAACATAAATCTTTACTTGTGTCCATGAACTACGCAAGTCCTGATAAACTGGTAAATAATAACTGTTGCTACTTGTCCAACAGGATGGTGCAAAGCATGGCCAATGTTTAATAGTATTTCTATCCAGACAGGATCTGTGTAGGCAGCCATTGATTCTCTGGATCGTGGTGTACATATAAGAGGCCTGATGAATCCGTTTCTAGCTAACAAGCCCAAATCAAGAGCAACACAGCTAGTTACAAATGTCACAGATCCATGCGTTGTCCGAGTTTACAGCATGCTGCTTTCTTCTTTCTTGCTTTGCTTCCATGCTCTGGATCAAAGCCTCTTCATGTTCATCTGCGTCTGGTTCCAGATGTTCCCTTCAGACTGGATAGGATTCTGTGCACCCCTCCCAGCTTTCTACACTGATATTGAATGCCTTCAAGTCATATTTGCACGCATCATGGTACTGCCATAGAGGGTGACCATGCTTTCTAGAGAGGTCTCCAATTTTACTATACAAAATATTCTTGGGGATACAGTCTCTTCACCCCCCCCCTGAAATATGGCTGATCCATCACAACCACCTTTTCTAGATACTGGTTTCTAAGTGTGTCAGTCCTGAGCACTCCAGTACCACAGTAGTTTGGTATTCTGTCTTCCCACTTTTATTTTCAGGATCTTCTGCAGGCATCTCATGTGGAAGCTGTTCAGCCTCTTGATGTGCTAGCATATGTTGTCCATGTTTCTAAACCATAAAGCAAGGAAGATAGCACACAAGTCTCATAGATTTGCATCTTCACTTTAGCTGATAGTTTGCTGTTATTCCATGCACGTTTCTGGAATAGCCCAAAATTCTTAGCTGCTTTTTTAATTCTGTTAGCCAGTTCAGTCTGAAGATTAAGACTCCACAGTACTAAATAGCCAGAACTGTCAATGACACCAAGAGTTTTATCCTCAGAGTGATGTCTGGGTATTGGCTCTCCCAGCATGACTCAAAAAATCTGACCAAGAGATTTTGAAGAAAAGATTCACTGTGGGCAACCAAGGCTGTATCATCCACAAATAGGAAGTATTTCAATATCAGTTCTTTCACCTCGGTTTTTTATCTAAACCCTGCGATGCTGAACAGGCCTCCATCTAGTCCAGTTTGAAGAGAAATGCCATTATTGATGTCTTTGAATGCACGAAGAAACAGGAATGAAAAGCAGACGTTAAAAAGCACAGGGGCTAAGACACACCCTGTTTCACCCCACTGTTGATGTCAAAGGCATTTGATTCTTTGTTTTTATCAAGGTATGGAGGCAACTGCAGTGTATGTAATGAGCAAATGATGTTCAAAAGTTTGTGGGGGATAACCCAGTTCCTTTAGAACAGTAAAAAGGGTTGGTCTGTTGACTGTACCAAAAACATTCATCATGTCATCATGTACAGTGACATTCACCTCCCTTTACACTTCTCTTGCAGTTGCTTGACCAGAAATATCATA